TCGTAACCCTGAAGGGCTGGACCAGATCGCCCGTTTTGCCAGTTGAAATAAACGTCGTGTTCGAAAAATGGTAATAGGATCGACTTACCGTTACGCTGTACAATAAAATACAAGATTTTTAGATTCGCTTGTAATATTCGCTGTGTATTCGCTTGATGATCTGGAACACCAAAGAACGATAAGATTTCGATCACTGCACTTGTCGTGACGGAAAACGGATTATCGGACGAGGACGTCGACGAGAGACAAACGAATAACGAAAAATAATTAATGTAATAATACGCGGAATGAAGTTAATACGAAAATACTCGAGCAAACGATTTAAAAACAGAAAGAAAAGATAAAAGATTAGGGAGAAGGAAGGTTTAACGTGCGCGTCTATGAGTCCTTATTCAGAATTCCGATTATTTTAACCCGCACGGCACTCTGCCTCGCTACGCGGAGGACTATACCGCAGAGAAAATATCGCGAACTTCCAAATAACTCTGTCTCTCGGACACACGGGCTCCCGATCACGTACTTACGATTGATCGATCAAGAGTGACAAATTTCGTGCGCGATCGATGGTCGAAGAGCCCGTCGCGCGAACATCGTCCTTGGAGGGGACGTAGTTCATTTTCGGTAGTGTCGCGTGCCCGGTGATTGGTTGAGACGCGCGAGCTAGACGAAGATCTTTCATCCCCTTTCTTTGGTGTTCCTTTCTTTTCTACTTCGTCGCCATGATAGTTTCAACGGTTTTCAGAAACTACGCAGTATTTCTCTTTATATGTAAAATTAATTAATGCATTGAGTAGAAATATAACTATTGATTTGACTGAACTGTAAAATGAGATTTGAAATTAAAATATACAGGTTTTGATAGAGGAAGCCGTCATCCGTATATCAGGATCAAAATTATTCGCTTTCCTGATTTGCGATAAAGATAGTCTGATTTAATAGGTTTAAAAGCGGATGATGCGCTTACGGTGGTTGTAATGCCGTGGCGAATTATGCATTTAACAACAATCTATCGCACATTAGCTTCGATGAATTCGGCATTTCGCTTTCTATGAATTTTAAACAATTTTCAATCTGGCGAACGTTCCTTCGAGAACATTCCTTTGTTCAAAATTTGCCGTTACCGCTAGGCAGTTCTTAGAATTTTCGATACAATAGTGTTTATTGCCTCGAACGACCCTTGATTTTCGAACGGCGCACAGTGGGACAAAACGGCTTTCGGCGATCAAAAGTCGATTTTCGTGAATTCGAGAATTGAAAAACTATTTGCGTATATCGATAGAGAATAAACTGTAGTTTAACGTAGTGTACAGTAAAACTTGGATAAATGCAACGAAAGAATGCTTGGATAAGTGTAACATCGCTATCCCCTCCACTTGGGGGGATCCCCCTAGATGAACCGAGCCGCTCGACGAGAAAACCGTGTAATATGATCCGACCATAATATCGGCGTGACTAATACTAATTGAACGATAAAACTTTTTTATTTTTAACTTTTTCTTAATGAAACTTTTACTAACTCATTTGTGAGATTTTTCTGATTAAAATGATACCAAACACGATATAGTTTGAATTATATTTATAAACAATAGTAATAGAATAAACAACATAGAATTGACACCACAACTGAATATAAATGATGTCGGCTGAATATAAAAGATGTGTACGGACACAGAATCGGCATGTCGGCTGAATACAAAACATGTGTACGGACGCAGAATCGACACCTCGGCTGGATATATGAAACATTAAATGCCCAGAATCGACACCTCGGCTGGATATATGCAACGTTTGAAAGCAGAACCGACCCCGTAACCGGTTTTCATTTCCAACCCTCCTTTGCTTTTCGCCAACTTTTAACATCAATTTTAGCAAGTAATTATAATTGAAACTATATCGTGTTTGGTGCCACTTTAATCACAAAAATCTCACCAATGCGCTAATAAAAGTTTCATTTAAAAAAAGTCAAAAATAAAAAAGTTTTATAATTGAATTAGTATTAGTCACACCGATACGTTTCGGCTCTTTCCTTTGATCATCGGACCTCTCTCTTTCCGCCACTGTCTGTCCCTTTCTACGTTCACGCTTGGCTGGTCGTCGCGTGTAACCCGAGATTCGACACCTCGGCTGGATATATGCAACGTCTGGGTCCCAATGTTTGTTGCATATATCCAGCTTTTATTGTATTACGGGTGGGCTTAAAAATTAAATTTAACTAACTTTCATAATTTTGAATCTCAGTATGTGTGTCTGGTCGCCGTTAGGCGATCAGAATATTACTTTACCCTAACCGAACTTAATTCACTGATTAGGTAGAGTGGAGTGGGTTAGGTTAGGGCCTAACCGTTAGGCTATATTAAATTCTCAGCTGCCATTATAGCTACGATACATTGAAATCATGCATGCAAAAGTACACAAGGTATACAGGGTGTTCGACAACGCCTGAAAAAGCGCCTGAAACCTGCAACCTGCCCAGCACCGACGACTGAACGTCAGGTCAGCAGGGGTCGGTACAGTCATAACCAAGAATCGAAGCCGAATGCCGCAGTACCGAGAAACAGAATAGCACGAGGTAAGTTTCTACTATTCAACGATTCTTGGTTACGACTGTACCTTCCCCTGCTGACCTGACGTTCAGTTGTCGGTGCTGGGCGGATTGCAGATTTCAGACGCTTTTTATTCGAATTTTTAAACGTTAATTATTGGAAAACAAAGCCGTAAACACTATTTCGTTATTCTTGATTTTCGTCTTATTTTGATTCCTAGAATCACCCCTTAAAATTTTGCCCACCTGTTATCGAACACCCTGTATATTGGTCATCGGTCACCGTGCTGTTGCCTGCAGAAACAGTAGAAAAGCGGCGATCCCATACTAATGCGTACGTTGTCACGGACACACACGGATGGCCAGCATTCAATGTGTTAGTTTCGACAGGTGTTTCGAAAATATCTCGAAAACCAAAGCCGAGCGGCGGTTATATGTATAAGAAAAAGTTGTTCAAAATGTTGAGTTTTACAATATATTTAAATTTCATTAAAATCGGTGAGGTGTAACCTAATCTTAATAATTACCAAGATAATTTTTTATTAGTTTCAACCGCGAGTTTTTGTAGACCGCGGGGCCTTTCAAAACACAAGGCCGGTTTCTGGCGAACGCGCTGAACCTGCCTCGCGCCCGGCCCTGGATACATGTAAATATGTAAGTACTTACATATGTGGCACCCTCGTCTCTCGATCAACCGCACCGACGAGGTACTGTTAAAGACTGCCATCCCCTGTGTTAAAGTTCGGCACGCCAAGTGGGCACAGTGGGCCTGGGGTACAATCGGTAAATAGGAATGATGAATAATGTAGAATAGTGATATTACCCATTGTACCGCCGAAAAAAACTGTTATACCACCAACGAGATGATTTAACTTTGCCACAGTACAATAATTATATTTTACCTTATAATTGGATTACATTCTTATTATAATATAATAATACAATTATTGTAATAATGGATATTAAATAAATATATGAAAAATAAGAATATTTCATATGTAACATTCTGAAAAAATACAACTGAATAAAAAATAATTCGAAAATTACTGTTATATTTATAAAACCACTCTAATCGTTATTTCATAATCGATACTACATAAATATATGAAAAATAAGAATATTTGGTACGTAACATTGTGAAAAAAATAGAAGAATTGAATAAAAAATAATTCGAAAATTACTGTTATATTTATAAAATAATGATTCTTAAACCAAAAATATCATTTAACTGTTAACAGAGATTCGTCCTTTAGCATACTGTTAACAGGTGGGGGCATTTTTACCTTTTTCACAGGTAGTAAAAGTAGGTATTTTTAATAGAGAATGGCATATGTATTTCGCGACATCGTGGAAACAAGAACGTCTTTTTGAAAACGAAGTGTAGAAGTGTAGAGAAGTGGGAAGTATAGAGTGTACTGATAGTAGAGCAGTACGAATCCTTAACAAATAAGGAAATAAGTTTATTGCATTAACTTTTTTTCGAGTATGCAGTAGAAGTGTAGAGCGTAGTGACAGTGGAGTAGAAAATAATTTTATTTCATTATTTAAAATTGACAGGAAAATGACGATGAAATTGACTCATAGCTAGACTTGTATTTATAAAAATTGTGATATGAGAAGTAGGGACAATATATTAAATGTCAAATTTTATCGTTTACCTGTCACTAAGAGAAATCAATTAATAACGTGGTTAGTAAATAGTGGTTGCGATCATCTGGCAGAGGAATCAGATGCAGAATTAAAGAAATTGCGAATATGTAGCCGACATTTTCCGGAAACTGCAATTTGTCCAAGTGGTAGATTAAAAGCGAGTGCGGAACCAATAATATATGATGTGGAATCCAATGATGATACCCCGGATTCCGTCGGTCAGGAAATATATATTTTAAAACAAAAGTTAGGATGTCAAGACGTCGATATATTTCCTTGTGAGTTGAAGTCAAATAGCACCTATTATTTTAGCTAATTGTTGCAATCTAATTTTGAACTTATGGCAATAAAGTGAACACATATTACTATAATTTGCTGTTGATAGTTTCTGTATACAATATAAACATAAATACGTTCAATGAATGAAAAAAAAGTCTCAAAATGGCAAATAAATAAATTTGAAATAAAATTATGTAAACAGGTATGTAAAGGAATAATGAAATATAATGATCATTTTCTAAAGTAACTTTGGTACCTATACATCAAAGCTATTTTATTAAACAATATTAGTTGAAAATATTTAATTCACCTTTTACCTTATACTTACAAAATTGTTTTCCAGATAACAAATTTTTTTATTTTGTATTTACACCTCGTTATGTTAATAAATAAATTATACTTTTACAACTTATCTAATTTATTATTTTAACTGAAGAACTTTATATTTAATTCCATAATAATCCAGCATAAGTCTTCTTTGAAGTATACAATTAGGTAATACAAATATTAGTATACTGAAAAAATGATATTACTTAAACATAAAACCTTGATTTAACTTTATTATATCTATTTTCAGTTTATAAAAATGTTATACAAATCTTTGAATCGTATTATGATCTTGCATTTTTTCCAGTGCGTGTAAATTATTCCACCAAAGTGGCAATTTATTTTTAAGAATTAATTCAAACCAAGGACTCAACGGAGAATTAAGATTTTTCACAAAGTCATTAATTTCAGATTGTGACACCCAACGAAGTTCACTAATTTCATCTGAATTTGGATTTAATATAATATTATCCTTCTGCATAAATAGCACATAATCTATTTCATGTTCACCCCAGTATCCATTCACTGCATGATAATGAATTCTTGTTAGATACAGAAAATCTGATAAAAGAATTTGAGACAAGGGGATTCCTAATTCATAATTAAGTCTTCTTTGTGCTGCTCTACGTATTCCAATTGCTTCATGCTCTTCTGTTTCTTCAGGAATTTCAGCCAATGGATGACTACAACACGTGTTTGTGTAATGGTTTGGAAATGTTATCTATGAACAATAGCATTTATAATGGTATTAATAATCTAACACAAATACAATATGTTTTGTATATATCAAGAATGCTTACCTTATTGGCAGATCGCTTTTGAAGTAACAATTCTCCTTTTCCATTAAACAAGAAAACACTAAACGCTCTATGAAGAAGAACTTGGCCATCAGAATTAACTGTATGACAGTCTCGTTTTGTTGCTTTACCAAGAGGTTTATCTAATGCATCAACCAAGATGCAACGTTCTTCTAAAGCAGCTTGCTGCAACGGAGCTGCTTGTGTACTACCAACATATTTTACCGTAGATTTTAAGTGACATGCAGCAGAAGATAGTTTTTTTAACATTTCAGCCATCACTACAGTGAATTGTTTAGAAATATTTTTCAAAATTGACACATACAATACTTTACACATCAAATTTTTTTTCTAAAATATATGATGTATATACACAAATAATAGGTTAACTAAGATAATGATCATAAAGCAATTTCAAATTTAACTGAACATATGTTAAACGCTCTACTGTAAAGAAACTTTTCTTGTAGAAAGTTTTATACGATCGTATACTTTAAAGGTATTCACAGCACTAACCTTTAAACTTGACGTCACGACGTCTTTTTTCAAATTTACAATTTGAATAATGTTTTGATATAATATGAATGATATCTACAAAGCCATCGAGCGCCTTTATACTTTGAACTTTATACATTGTAAAATCTAAAAACTGTAATAAAATTTCCATTAAATATTAATATTGTATAATCGATAATTGACATAAAACGAAAGGAATGTTTATAGAAAAAAAAAGAACGATAATTAGAATTAGATAATTTAAAAATAAGTTTATACCTATAAATGAAAACTAAAAACATGTTTTTGATTCCAAGTTATTATTATTTAACATTATGTACCAAGTTAAATTACATATATGTATATATATTTGTACATGTATCATATCCCTCTATATCAGGCCCAACAAACACCCGTATTTCATGCCGTAACGAAAATTAGTATGTACATACTGTGCACCGATGGCAACATATCCCATATGACGTATCGAAACTGACGAGGGGAACTACCCAAGTGTTACGCTCACTTATTAATGAAACTTTGCCACCTTGTAGAGCTAGTCGTCCTGAACACGCCCACACCACATTTTGGGGGCAGAGGGCTAATTGTTTAAAAGATATTAACAATTGAAGCTAGTAACTGCATATATTGAGAAGTATGACAAACTAATACATACAAATGGTTAGCTCCACGGTAAAACGCTTGATTCGCAATTCTAACTGTCCACGATTCAAGTCCATAGTTCGCAATTTTTTTTCCTTTTTTCTTTTTAATGATAATTTGTCTTTTTTTGAATAACTATTACAACTGTGCTATAATCATTGCATTTATTAATAATTAACTAATACATGTGCTGCAATTTTGATAGAATTAAGTTATCTTTTCTATCCAATACGTATATTAACATCCTTACCGCATTCGAAATTTACACGCGTTTATTTGTTATTATTTGTTTTTACAAGTTCAATTTATTTAATTATATTTATTTAGTTACATTCATTTATACTACATGCAAATTTATAATTCATATTTACACGCCCGCGCGTGTGTGTGTAAGGATGTTAATGTACGTATTGGATAGAAAAAATAACTTAAATTCTATAAAAACTGCAGCACATGTAATTAATTATTAATAAATGCAATGATTATAGCTCAGTTGTAATAGTTATTCAAAAAAAAACAAATTATCATTAAAAAGAAAAAAGAACAAAAATTAGGAACTATGGGAACCTTGGACAGTTAGATTGCGAGTCAAGCGTTTTACCGCGGAGCTAACCATTTCACAGCCGACTCTAGTACTAGCCATGCTGAACAACGTGGCAACACCGCTCACGTGACAATCGGGAGTCCTATTTTCAAAAACAGAGTCCTGTGCTCGGAATTGTAATTAACGTCTTTTTTAATTAAAAGCTGTAGTAATATACACTATTTTGTGTTAATTATGTATAAACAATATATAAACGTTGCAACTATGGCAAATAGAAGTGATGTGGTAGTATAAAATTGTTATAAATGTGATATATATTTTGTGTACTCTCACAGTAGTTTGGTGTTGTGAAGCATGATATTTGAAATATTTACAGTGGTTTCAAGAAAATTTAGGTATGAAGCAAAATGAAACCATCTTTGGGTCAAATTGAAACATTTAAGAATTGATGAACGTGTATATAAGTTAATAAAAACTTTGAAACAAGCGAAAAAATTGGAACGAAACCAAAGAGGTTATGTGAAGTCCAGAGAGTGTCGGGAGTCTGACGACGTTGATTGGCTGAGAGTCTGGGAGTCCGGGAGGCAGATAGAGTAGGGTAGGTGTTGATATATTCAGACCGGACTCCCGCGGTGTTGCCATTTTTACTTCAGCACGGCTAGTGTCGAAATATATATAAAGTAACTTTTAAACTAACTATTAAAATAGTTACTAGTTACCAAAAATAAAAAGAACAAAGTCAAGTTAGAGTTACCGAAAATAAGTAACTGTAACTGTAACTTTGTTAAAAATAACGAGTTACTTCCCAACCCTGTTAGTTTGTCATACTTACTAGTTTTAATCGTTAATATCTTTTAAATAATTAGCCGTCTGCCCCCAAAATGAGGTATGGGCGTGTTCAGGACGATGAGCTCTACAATGTGGCAAAGTTTCGTTAATAAGTGAGCGTAACACTTGGGTAGTTCCTCTCGTAAAATCCAAAGTATTCTTAAAGTATTAGAATAAAACTGGAAATTGAATAATGCAATATAATGACATTAAATATTATTACGAAATGTAACAACTTAAAAGTATGTACGCATCAATTGCCTCCCTATTTAGATATAAATGTGTCAAAAGCCAAATTCATGCGACAACGTAGCAATACGCATTACTTAAAATCGTAATGATCGATAGTTCTCGCTGGTTTTCGACTTCGATCGATCGAATCGTATCATGGAGTAGTTTAATAGGTTTCACGATATTCAGTGCAGTGTAGTAAAGACCATTATATAAAAAAGTTATTGTTGCCTTAATGTGTTATTTATTACCTACGTTCGAATATATTTTAAATCAATTTATGTCAACTCGTTAATTTTCTGGTAAAACGGCGAAATGAGTGAAAACGCAGAAATTACAGGAGTAATATCGCCTGAAGATGCGGCAAAAGCGGAAAAATTTAAAGAAGAAGCGAACGAATATTTCAAAAGTGCGTTTACAATATTTTTTCACTAACTTTCTTTCCCTGTGATTCATATTTCTTTCCAAAATTTATAAAAATTCATAATCATCATTAGATCAGTGTCATTTAGTCACGTGTATATTCAAAACTAACCCAACTTCCACAACGTAAATGATCATTTAATTATCAAATAAAACGTTGATATGTAAAGTAATCAATTAAAAATTTAAAGCAATTATTTCATTTGTCCTATTTTCTCTGAAGATATATACATACTATAAACAGTCATTTCCATTTCTTATGAATATGATATTTATTTATATGTAATATACGTTGTATATCAACGTTTTATCGTTATATTATATGTTAAATACAAATAAATATTAAGTAATATATTAAATAAATATAAATATTGAATAAATAACAATTAGTCTTTTAAAGTTTTTATTCAATAATATGTCATTTAAATATAACTGATATATTTTATTGTGTTTTAGATCAAGATTATACCAAAGCTATAGAATTATACACTAAAGCTATAGAGTGTAATCCTACAGTGGCAGTATATTACGGCAATAGAAGTTTTGCGTATTTAAAAACAGAATGTTTTGGATATGCACTTACAGATGCCTCTAAAGCTATCGATTTAGATAAAAATTATGTTAAAGGATATTATCGTAGAGCTGCAGCACACATGTCACTTGGCAAATTCAAGCTAGCTCTTAAGGATTATAAAACCGTTACTAAGGCAAGACCAAACGATAAAGATGCAATGGTTAAATATACAGAATGTTGTAAAATATTAAAAATGTTAGCTTTCGAGAAAGCAATTTCTGTGGAAGAAAACAAAAAGAATATAGCTGATATGATTAATTTAGAAGAAATGGGTAGATCATTATATCTAATAATTGATCAATAATTATCTAATACATTAGAGTTATTTATCAAAAAATATTAAATCTATTTTTACGTATTTTACAGCAATTGAAGATGAATATGTAGGACCTAAACTTGAAGATGGAAAAGTTACTTTACAATTTATGCAAGACTTATTAAATTGGTACAAAAAACAAAATAAATTACATCGTAAATATGCTTATAAAATTCTTTTAGATGTAAAAGCATGGTTTATGGCACAACCAAGCTTAATTGATATTACAATTCCTGATGACAGTAAATTTACTATTTGTGGAGACATACATGGGCAGTTCTATGATTTACTTAATATTTTTGAATTAAATGGATTACCTTCACAAACTAATCCTTATGTATCCTTTGCAATATGGGTATATTATATATTTATCATTGCATTTTTAATGTGTTAATACTAAATACAGGACAGACCATCCAAAACAGGCTGCCCGAATAAATTGCTTGTTTTTGTTGATAATACATATTGGTGTAACTAGTCTTTTTTTTTAGGGGTGGGTCAGATCCCTTAAACATTATTGTTTTGGTTTTAGTTATATATATGTTGCATTTTGGCCAAAATATTTATCTCTGTTAAGATAAGATCTTATGAAAGGATTTTATAACTTTAGAATTTTAGAATCTTATAATTTTAGAATTTTAGAATAATGAAGGAAGGCATCCACCTTTTGTTGAAGGGTGAGGGGGGACCTCTACCTTATTGCTAGATTTGGAAGAAGTCATAAAATAATTATTAATATCAGACTTATGTACTTTTACTAACACTATCATTAAAATCAAGCAAGTTATTTAAGTGGCCTATTTTAAACGGCTCATTCAGCATATTACTAATACACGCACTTCAGTTGATATAATATATACATCTTAACAGTATTATAGTTATTCAATGGGGATTTTGTAGATAGAGGTTCATTTTCTGTAGAATGTATATTCACCTTGTTTGGATTTAAATTGTTGTATCCAAATCATTTTTTTATGTCTAGAGGTGTGTACCTGTTGATTTATCTATACCATTAAAATGAGATACATATTTATACTAAAATGTGATGTTTAGGTAATCATGAATCTGCCACAATGAATCAGATGTATGGATTTGATGGCGAAGTAAAAACAAAATATTCTGCTCAAATGGCAGAATTATTTACAGAAGTTTACAATTGGCTTCCACTTGCCCATTGTCTTAACAACAGAGTACTCGTAAGTATATATTATTGTATGAAATAAAAACTTCTGTTAAATTCAAATACTTTCATAATAATGCACTTTATAGGTAATGCATGGAGGTCTATTTTCAAGAGATGATGTCACATTAAAAGAAATTCGAGAAATTGATAGAAATAGGCAACCACCAGAAGAAGGATTAATGTGTGAACTATTGTGGTCGGATCCGCAGCCTCAACCAGGAAGAGCACCCAGTAAAAGAGGAGTTGGTGTTCAATTTGGACCTGATGTTACACAAAATTTCCTTGCTATAAACAATCTTGATTATATTGTAAGAAGCCACGAAGTGAAAAATGAGGGATATGAAATCGGACATGATGGGAAATGCATTACTGTGTTCTCTGCTCCAAATTATTGGTACGTAAGCATAATACCTTTTATGAATTCAGTGATTTTTAATGGATGTTGTTTTTAGTGATACCATGGGTAACCGGGGTGCCTTCATCACACTTAATGGTAAAGACATGGAACCCCATTTCACATCGTATGAAGGAGTGGTATGTTATACAATTATAATAAGTAATGGTTTGTATTTTAACAATTGTATCATAAAACCAATTTTTTTCAGCCTCATCCAAATCTAAGGCCAATGGCATATGCTAATTCTTTACTAAAATTCATGTGCTAGTGGAATACCTTAGGTACTGTTGATAAGTAAATAAATAACAATAATTGATTACGAGTAGCCCAATCAAAGTGTGCGTAATATATTTGATACTGAAACGGAGGAGGTGAGAAACCATTAGACTTCTCCGAAACAATAAATACTGTATTCTTTTTAGAAACAAGAAAACCCTGTATCATAATAAATCAAACGAAGGTATAATATTCATGGGTACAAAAATGAAAAAAGTTTGCTTGTTTCGACAACTGGTGAACAATTTTCTTGACTATGATAAGAACAATGCCTCATTAGCAATTTGTGTTTCATTATAATGAAATGCTATGAAGAGCATATTTTTATTTTGTACCCTCGATTAAACCACCTTGTTCATTAAAGATTCGGAATTTCGAATGATCTCAAATTGATTAACTTATATTATATTTGTGTAAAAATGTTACAAATATTGGTGTACGCAATGAATATTCTTTCATTTGATTCTTTAATGAATAATGGTGGTTCATTTAATACAATGATTACAATGAAAAATATCTAATACATATGCGATTTAGCCTCACTATGTAGTACAATTTTCCAGCCAGTCACTGTCTGTCACGTTATTTGTGATGACTACTTTTATACAAATCTAATGTGATTGGAAGGATTTCTTTCATCTAACGTTTTGTTTCTTTTCTCTCTCTCTTTTTTTTGGTAATAAATTATGTTTATAATGTATTTAAGATGTATATTGTTTTTTTGAAATAATGAAAAATTAGGTTGTATTAAATGAGATAGAACATTTTTTCTAATAAATTAAACCGATTTTTACGACTTACATTTATAATTACATCTTATGTATTTTAACAAATCGTCGAAATTATAAAAGATACCTGACAGCTTTAAAAAATAATTTCATAAGTGTACTGTAAAATTTCTCCCCAAATAATTCTATTTTACCAATTTTATTTATAATTAGTATGACATAAAGAAGTTTCCGTTTAGTATATTTAAATCAAAAGCAGATCTTAAAGTTACTATGTTTAAAGTATTATGATTTATATACTAGTTCTTTTACTTAGAAATAATAATATTTAATTAAGATAAACTTAGAAGATTTGTTAGGTAGTAGGTATTTTTATTTTTTAAAAATCTTATTTCCTATTTCCACATTTAGTTGTTACTATTATTTATAATTTAAAATACCTTATACAAGTATTTTTAATTAGATTAGTAAAATATGGGTAATGGCCTCCTATGAGAATTGAAGCGTTACATATGAGTGGGGTGGCAGTTGAAGTGTTAAATATAGTAAAGGCTGGATAAATGCAAGGTGACTAACTTCTTTACATGGGGGGATCACCCTTGGCGAACCAAGACGCTCGACGAGGAATCGGTGTAATATAATCCGAACTGGAATATTGGTGTGACTAATGCTAATTCAACGATGAAATTTTTTTATTTTTAACTTTTTCTTAATGAAACTTTTACTAACGTATTTGTGAGATTTTTCTGATTAAAATGAGACTGAACGCAATATAGTTCGAATTATACCAAGTTCGCCATACTCCAATCAAATCGTTATTGGCAGCATGTTTATTCAGGTATTTTTAATTTTGCGTCGTCTCTGAAAAGGTTGAAATGTATTTAGTATACTATTTAACGATTAAATAGGTTTTATTAATAGCTGTTGGGTATTGGTATAAATGAAGTAGAAATTATTTCATACTTTTTAGCGTATTTTGTTAATGCAGCAAGAGGTTTTCTTAAAAATTGTCACGTAGTAGTAGTAGTAGTAGAATTCGGGTGGGGAAATAAAACCCCTAGAGTCACCTAGATCTAAAAGTTTTTTTGCGACATTCCGCTGGTTTATTGGGTTAGTTATTGGATGAGACCTAGCCCGGCGTCAGCCACCAGGCCGTAGAGGCTGCTCATCTTAACCTTCTCTTAATCACTGGGACATAAGAACATTTTGCTCATGGATTTGTATCTTTTCTGAGCTAGAGCAGGACATCGGCATTTGTATGCTGTCCTGCTTTTCCTCTCCGCATAGCCGGAGATTTATTTATTAATTTATTTGCTCGGTCAGATCGAGATTGTGTAAATGAGCCCGTAGGGTCATGTGGCCTGTAAGGAGCCCTATGCAGGCCTTTATCTTTGTTTTATTCATAGCTAGGAGTTCCTTTGTTCTGCTGGCTGATGGTTGTTGTATCAGGAGTTTTGCCTGGCGGCAGCCCGTTACTTCCCTCCAGGAGGTCAGGTGCTGCCTCTCCAGGTCCTCTTTGATGAGTTTTTTCCCTAGGACAAAAGGGTGCCCAGTTTTGCCAGACCGTCAGCTATCTCATTGCCCTGTACACCTTGGTGTCCAAGGGTCCATATGAAGGTGATTTTGTTCAACCTACTCAGTTGTGCTAGTGCCTGCATGCCTTCCCAGACAGATTCCGTACTGGTCTTTGCAAGGGCATTTATTGCTGCTGTGCTATCTGAACAGATGCAGATCTTTTTATACTTAACTCCTAAAGAGGTCTGTAGTTTCGCGCATTCTGAGGTCGCTAGGACCTCGGCCTGGAAGACCATGACCAACGCCCCCATAGAGAGACTGGTTCTGTGTTCCATCTTCAGGCCACAGAAACCTGCCCCAAAGCGGTTGTTGTTTCCTGAGCCATCCGTATACCAGATGTTAGTGCTCAGGTTACTAGGGAATCCTGGTTTCTTCCAGTCGTCCCTAGTTGGTATGTGGACCTTGAAGGTCCTTTGTAGTTGGTACGTCCTGGGGATTTTATCCTGCACAAGCCTGAATGGGGGGTTGTGTAAGAGTTCCAGTGCCGTGTGTCCCGTTCTGAAGCTCTTCCATTTCCCCAGGCAGTGCAGTCTATACGCTGTGAGTTTGGCAACGCTAATTATAACGTGCTCAAGGAGAGCATACCCTAGAGTCACTTGCAATGCGGCTATTGGTGTGGTTTTCATGGACCCTACAATAGCTCTCAGGTAACTTCTCTGGAGGCTTTTGAGTAGGCTTCTTGTTTCTGCTTTTTTAATGTTAGGCCACCATATTATCGCGGCATAAGTTAGCCGCGGTAGCAGGATGGTTTTGTAAATCCATAGGGCGATGCTGATGTTACGTCCCCGCTTACGAAGCGTTTTCTTTATCTAATTTGCGTTGTGGGTGCTGCCGGTTAAAGCGCTGAAGCACACCTTGACCTAACCTTGCGGGTAGGATACGGGATAGGATATGAGCTTAAGAAACTATATATATATGTATATGTGCGTATAATAATACATTTTACTTTATTTTTCTTATATACCGGACGCTGTCTTCAGTGGTTCGATGATTTCTCGCTTGCTCTTGACTACTACATTTAAAACACATACACACGGTCTCGAGTTTGTTGACTGTCGCCAATTGGTATAACGCTAAATACGCGGCGCGTGGCTTCGACTCGACCTTGGAAGCAGATGCGGGTCGTAGTGGTTCTGCACGGGACACGGATGCACCCCTAGAGCTGGTCTAATTATGGGTCTGGCTGATCAGACCTCGGCTATATACTCGTGGTTCCTGTCGGCCGAGCACGTCTTCTTCTAATGTTCTTCCGGGGTGGCGAAGAGCTGATGAACGCGCTGATATCGAGCGTTAGGTACGTGATTCTAAAAAGGCGCAAAACTGAATTCAAACTGAACTCGCAGGCCACGTTGCACTGATCTTTTATACCTCCGGAGATGGGCGTTGGACGAGCCTGTTGCTAGCGAACAAAAATGTTAGCGAAGGGTTTTCGCTATCGAGTTCCGAGAGCTCGGTGGGAACGCTAACGATCGCGGTTTCTTGAGCGAAACCTTTGCGGAATAGCGGAAGACGAAACTGAATATACATCCAGGGACGTAACACTGGGCTCGAGGCCCTAGGTTTTCCTAGAGCCCTTCTGGGCTCCACACCCCATAGGGATGTGTAGAAATTTTTCCTCTTTATGTCGAGGTGCATCTTCCAATTGAATTTGGAGTCGAGATATACTCCTAGGTATTTTACCGAAGGAGCATATGGAAGATGATCCTTGCCCCATAGATTTAGACAATTAATGGGTTCTGGTTTATATTTTCTGGTGAAAATTGTAGCCGATCTTTGAACGATGATCTTAAGTGTCTCAGTCATGCGTTCCTTAAGAATGGATAGAAAGCTCCCTCTAATCAAAACGACTACGACGTCAGCGTAGCCGAAGATGAGAAGGCCTGCTTTTTGTAGGCTTACTAGGAGTTCGTCTATTATTAGACACCACAGGAGTAGAGATAGTACTCCACCCTGTGGACAGCCCCGAGTAGGTATACCGTGGACTGTGATGTCATTGTGGCTGACTGTCACTCTCCTGCCGTTTAACATGCTTTGGATCCAGTCCAGCAAAGTTTCGGCGGTATTATGGTGCATTAGGGCTTCTTGTATTGTTTGATATGAGGTGTTGTCAAAAGCTGTGACTCAACTTTGCACACAAGGTGGTGTGGTGCTGTGTCTGTCGATCTTCCCTCCCTATAGGTATATTGTGAGGAAGCCAGAGGCTGAAGAGTTAGCGGGCCTGTCCTGAGATAGCGATCAACCAACCTTTTCAACGTTTTGAGGATGAAAGAGGTGAGGCTGATGGGTCTAAAATCCTTTGCCAGGATGTGTCCGTTTCTCCCCGGTTTGGGTATGAATACCAGTTTGGTGTTCCTCCAGATTTGAGGGACGTGTCTAAGGGCTATGCTGGCCCTGGAGGATTTTCATCAGAGGGCCAATAAAAATGTTTAGTCTCTCTTGTAGTAGGGCTGGAAAGATTCCATCTGGTCCAGGTGCTTTCTATGGGCGAAAAGTTTTAATCGTCCATTCGATGTCCCTGGGTTGTACAATTTTGGCTCCTAGGGGCCAGTCTCGGTGCTTGTAGGGGTCCCTGGGTCTTGTGCTGAAGGAGTTAGTTATAGCGGTTGATTCTTGGAAGTTCGGAAAGTGTGTTTCCAAGAGGTGTTTTAGCGTGTCTGATTCGCTATTGGTAAACTTCCCATTCGGGAGTTGTAGGCAATTGAGCCGGGCTCGGTGGTCTAAGGATAGAATTCTGCATAGCCTGGAGGCCTCTGGGGTTTCCTCTATGCTTCCGCAGAAATCTCTCCAGCTTTTTCGTTTGGCTTTTACTATGGTTTTGCTATATTCCTTCTGGGAGCTTCTATAAGAGTCCCAGTGTACAGCAAGTCCAGTTTTCCTTGTCTTATTAAAACGTTTTCTGGTCTCAGTCTTAAGTATGGCTAACTCAGAGATCCACCATGGTACTCGAGACGATCCCGTCCTGGGTTTTATCGAGCAATTTAATTCATAAGCGTCTGTGATGGCGTTGCCTAAACAGAGCGCTGATATTTCCAGGTCTTCCCTGGTGTGGAACCTGGTTGAGATGTTCTTGATGGTAGCAGAAAGATTTGCTCTGTATCCATCCCAGTCAGTGCGTTTTGGGTTGCGAACCCAAGTAGTGGCAATATTTAGTTGTAGGGAGAGGCGGATGAGTCAGTGATCGGATCCTGAAGGTTCTTTTGAGACCCTCAGGTCTCTCACCAGGTGCACTAGTTCCTCTGAACTAAGGGTGACGTCTATTACCTCCTGTCTTCTAGAGTCCATGAAGACATTCAGTTCCTCTGTTCCTCAGTTCCTCTGTTCAAAACAATCAATTCTGTGCTGATGAGGAATTCATGAAGGCTTTCTCCCCTTGGGTTGATATTGGTACTGCCTCAACCGGTATGGTGGAAATTGGTATCGCAACCCAATAGGAGTTCTAGTCCTTCTTTTCTTACCAGTTCTGTCAGTTTTCTAACTTCAGGTTACGGTGGTGGGTCTGGGGAGTTGTAGGATATGTAAATTGATCCCACTAAGATCTCTCGGTTCCCTCTATTGTCTAGGTTCAGTCTGAGACAGATGACTGTAATGTCTCCGTTGCTTACTTGTAGTAGTAGGGTCACATTTAGTCCTTTGACTACGATGCAAGTCCTAGGTTTGTCCTCTGAGCGTGCGTAGTAGTTATTACCGCACCCTCCCAGCCCTCTGATAGCATTGTACGCGAGTCATGGCTCTTGTATTAGTGCTATGCCTGTGTGCATCACAGCCATGCTCCTGGCTAGGATCGCCGAGGCACATTTGTTGTGATGCAAGTTAATCTGCATTATCTGAACTCCGGAACAAGCCATTATTTGGCAGGTCCGGTGTCTTTGTTTGCTTGGTTTCCTTCAGGTCCTTCCTTTGGTTCCTTTTCGAGCAGCTTTACAGCTGCAGAAGGGCCAGAGGTTGCAGGACCTGAGGGCTTCGAACGAGGCATCGTCAACCAGGCAGGCGAAGTGCGTGCTCGAGGCACCACAACTCTCGCTCCCCCTGGCGACTAATCCACTCTTTAATCCTCAGGCCCTTGTTTTGTATGTTGAGGAGTTTGACGGCCTCCTCAGCAGACAGGCCCGATTCTTCTACGTGTACTACCACCCTCCTCGATGGCGTTTAAGCAGCGCCTCAGCTGGCAGCACACGTAGGTTGTTTCCCTCGATCTTAAGCTCGGAGGCGAGGCTTTTAAGCCAATGGTGGGTTCATCCGCACGCCAGAAGATAATCGCCCCGTCGCGTTCCCATGAGCCCGTAAAGATGGAGGCTCTTGTGTCGTCTGGTAGCTTGGGAATTTCCTTCCTGATCTGCTTCCTGATCAGGATCGCCACCTCTGCTCCCAATTTCGGATATGCGTTTGGTACCACCGCTAGCTTGCCTATGCCTCGGGTCGCTTGTGCATAAGACCCAAGGTCAGAGACCTTGGGCTTCTTGCCTTGGTGATCCGAAGGGCTGGAGGTGGTATTTTCCGTCCTGGTGCGTTTTGGTGCCCCAGTCGATTTGACCTTATCCTCGGCTCCTGAGGTGGTAGGTTTTGCTACCTGGGGGGAGGGGGAGAGAGTGTTTTCTGGGGAGGTTGTGGTAGGGGTTGGTTTCTCCTTGCCTTCCTCCCTCAGTTTCAGTTTCTTATAGCGGTGTCTCGCTGCGCCGCTATATCGAGCCCGGGTTTTGGGCTATTCCTTTGAGCAACTCACCCCCGTGTTGGCGCTGGTGTTTTCCTCCGGTCGTTCGCTCCTTAAGGAAGCCACGCCCTGGAGAAGTTTTGCCGGCGTCATGTCGGCGTCAGGTGTAAGTTTTTTTGTATCGGTGTCCATATGAGTCCTATGAGTACCGCGGTCAAGCGATATCACCCGAGCAGAGCCGCGATTGTCCGGGACTTGACTGTTCACTCCTGGAGGTCGTCCGGTATCCAGGAGGAACCGTTTGGGACGCAACACCCCTTGCGCCATGCAGCTCTCGGCACGGTCTCTCACATCTTAGCTTGGAGGATTCCTCTTAGTCGGCCGCACGCGGTTCCACCCTACCGGATGGGCCCACCTGCGGCCTTAAGCCCCATCCACCCGTTTGGACGCTTCCGCCATCCCTTTTGGGGTTAACCCAATCCGGTGGCGTTAACGCCGACCTTCGGCAAGGTGGGAATCCGTTAGGGGGGCACGTAGTTATATAAATGAAACAAATTATTTTACGCTTTTTAGCGCACCTCAAAGTCGGTTGTATTTTTCTTTTAATTATTTCATTTCACACTCTTTAGTGAAACGAGCAATATTTGTAAGAGTGTAAGGTGGTTTCCCGTTCTTATTGGTTAAGACGGGATTTCCTATGTGCGTCGATCGCATACGTCTGCGTTCAGCGGATGTGCTTATTCGATTTTTTTCTACTGAATGCATGCGTCTTAAGGGGGTAGAGACGGGTAATAGTAGCGCGTTGACATTACCGGCAAAAATGGGCCTAAACAGGGGTTTACGGGACTACACTTTTCGTCCTTATACAGGGTGTCCCGTAACGCATTTTCACCCTCTGAAGGGGTAGGTGGGGTGATTCTGAACAACTTCTTCCTTTGCAAATAAGTTGTTTGTAGCTTCTTTTTTGAATTATTAAGCAAAAACACTGACCAATCCGAGCGCGTACAGCGCGCGGGCTCAGGGACGGCAGCGTCGGCTACGAAAGCGGGGCTTGACGTAGAACGAACGGCTCGGCACCCCATTGGCACAGCACAATAAAAAAATTGAACTGGTTGAACATTTTTAGTTGTTGTTTAAAATAAATACGGAATCTAATCTCTTGTCGCCTGTCATTATGTAAAAAAGGAAATTCTAAACATTCTAAACAACAAATAAAAATGTTTGAAATGGAATAATTAATAAAAATTTAAAAATAATTTAAATGAAACTTACCCATTCGTTCCTAAATTAACCTGCTATGCTAAAAGCAGATAATTCTCACTGGGTCACTGTGTCGATCCTAAACTTTCGAAGAACAGCTGATCTTCAGACAAGATTATTAAACCCACTTAACCACACGGTCACTATCACCTTTCACAGAATTTTCGTTCATGTAAATAAACATTTTTATTCACTGTCACGTTGCACAGATGAAAAACATGTAATATTCCGCACTGAGAATTTTTGTAGAAAAAGTTATTAACTTCTCTAAATAAATGTTTTTTAAATCATAAAAGCATACAGGATGCGTCACGCAATTGGGACGGGTTATATCTTGAATTTGGTAAGAGATAGGAAAAAGCTGTTCATGAAAAAGTTGATTGGTATGATAATGTTTATTTTTCTATGACTTCATTTTCTTCGTGAATGCAACGATGTACTAAAACAATGCAGATGCACTTTTTATATAAATAGAATTACATATTTTTTTTACTCGTATCAACTCCTTGGAACATTCTGTATAAAAAAGTACTATGGTACTATTAGAACTAATAAACCGAGGTGCCTCGGCTCCCGAG